TCTCTCTCTCATATTTCTCTGTCTCCTATTTTTCTTTTCTCATTTTTGTTTGCAGTAACTGTAAAGACATTTTTTTTCTCTGACACAAGAATCAGATAATAATAATAATAATAATAATAATAATAATAATAATAATAATAATAATAATAATAATAATAATAATAAAAATGATAAGCTAATAATAATAATAATAATAATAATAATAATAATAATAATAAAAATGATAATAATAATAATAATAATAATAATAATAATAATAATAATAATAAAAATGATAAGCTAATAATAACAACAGCATTAATGAGAACGGTAATAACAATAATACTACTATTACTAATTAATACATGTAGACCTAATGATAATGATACAATTTTAGTTGTTTTTTTCATCTGTACTGATGAGAAAGACAAATGCCGCGTAGCAAGATAAAATGTCACACACAAAGTTTCACGCTACATAAACATTTCAAATATCCAATGGGGAATTTTGATGCACAATGTTCAATGAAATCTAAAATAACATCATAATGTAACACAATCAATAGGAAGTTCAGACAAAGATCGTAGGCCCTACATATGAACGATCTTTGGTTCAGATGTCACAGAGAAAAGGGAAATACCCACCAAAAAGATTACTCATCGAGAGCAGCAACTGCTGAAACTGAGCTGACGACAACCATAATAAGTAATATCCTTCAGGGTGACTTGTGATCATCATGAAGAAACTCATTGTTAATAATAGACTATATGCTATAAATAGATATCCTGGCCATAAATTTAATAAAAATTAGCTCTCGATTCGATAGTCTATATTTTAAATTATTACACCAATAGTTTACTGATTTCTAACGTTCTTTTCGGTTTAAATTTGTTTAATTTTTCTACCTCATGTAACTGAAACAATTGCAGTTTCGTGTCACGTGATTGCCTCTTCATCGCACTAAACTACTGGACTTCCATAATTTGGCTCTTTTGGGACGAAAAAAAAATCTTACATTGATACGCCTAGAATTCTTTTTTTTTGGGTGGGGGGGGGGGGGGTCCGTTTTAGTCTCCTTTTCTCCAGTTCGAGTACAAGATTCCAACGTGGCATATTAAGAATTCCCTTCGCGTTGCAGCAGTTGCAATTTCAGGGTTAATAAGCTTATTTCTCTACCCCAGAATTTCAAAGTTCTATCTCACATTTTTGGCCATTTTGAGTTACTAAGATCATGAGGTCAGAAATAAATTCTATCTGCTCTATCAAAATTAAAAGATTACCCGGAGTCGTTATCAAGATGTTCAAAGAACTGCATTCGAAAAAGTTTGACATGTTGAGAAACTCAAAGTGTTTGACGTCAAAGCCAATAGTCTCAGAACAAGGCGCTGAGCAGACAGAACGTTGTAATTCTGAGGTAGCGAGCGATTTGGGCTTGCTATTTTTATTGTTTGGATTCTTCTTAACGTCATTTTTATATTTGGACTTCTTAGTAATATTAGGTGTAATTTGATCTTTCTACGTGGCTTTAGAATTTGTTAGGTGTATATTTGATCTGACCCCCCCCCCCCCCCAATAAAATACAAAATACAAAAAAGGAAAAAACGAACCACCCCCCCCCGCCCCCCAAAAAACAACCCACAACAACCAACCTATGATAATAATAATTCTAATTTTAAAAAACAACAATCAGAATAATAATAACAATATTGCATGGAGTATTAATGACAGTTACTTACACATCTTAACACGAGTGAAGATAAATTGTTGTGTTTGAAAACATCAAAGGAAGACAGTAGCACTTTCGTTCTAAAGCGTACGGAAGAAAACGACTGTCCCATGGACCTGTAGTCTCGGGGGCAGCCACCAATTGTTTTGACCCCCCCCCCCCTCCCACCCCCAACAAATTAACCACCCCACCCACCCCCGGAACAAAACCATCATCAGTGTATTCCATAAGCGCCTTCGTAATTCTATTTCATTTGAGTGTTTTTTTTTTTGTTGGGGGGGGGGGGGTTGAAAATTCGAGATAAAGAGATCGTTCAAATCGGAGCGATTACTTGGGCACTCGTCATTTCATTTTTCAATTAAAAACCAGGAGGTAAATAACGAAACAGAACGAAACTACCGATTGCAAGATAGTAAGATGGCCCTCAAATGTCTTTATTCGAATATATTGGCGTTATGTATGAACCCCCTCTCCCCCCCCTCAATTTTAAAAAGATGATTAGGCCTCTTGCCTTTTTAAATGGGTAGAGGGGAAAAGTGGGTGGGTAGAACTGACAACTACCACGTTGAGCTATCAGCGGTGTATGTCATTTTGTTTTTGATGAGTTGAGATGAAATATGGAGCCATGAAGGACGGTTGAAGTTTTAGTGTCTACCAGGGTCCCCTCCTGGGCAGAGATATACACACATGTTGCCGACAAGGGACCTGCTCTTGGGCAAAGATATACGCTTGCACATATGTTGGAGACCTCTTCTTGGGCAAAGATATACAGTGTACACACATGTTGAGGACTAGAGAACTCCTCTCGGGCAAAGATATACATACACATAATATTGTCGACTCCTGCAGGGCTAGGGTATAAATACATGTTGTCAATTGGGGACCTTCTCCTGACCTTGGGATCAGATATACCTACAAGTTTTCAGCTACGGACCTCTTGAGTTTTTAACCCGTCAGTTCTCTTCGCTGTTCTTTTTTCCTGAGGTGAGTTAAATCAAAGGTCCATAAGAGGCACAGTAAGTGACAGATAGATTAGACGAGGGTTTGTTCATATGACACACACAATCCTCCACGATTCCGCAACATTTACGTTTTTCTGTTTCCTCCTGTCATAAGCACCTTAAATACGATACATTGATTAGTCTTTGAGCAATATCCTCATTTCCCAGTTTCATAAGGAACCTGCCGCACACTTTATTCCATGGAACATATTCACAATGTTACATAAAAGCAGGGCACGGTATTGAGAGATCAGAGGTTCAAGTCTTGGCCAGGCCATTACATGTAACACTTTTCTGTCCATTATGATACAAAAGCGAATTTGGCCGTAAACCGAAACGCATCGGGTGAATAATATTTCTGCAACAGGGTGCTTGAAGGAAGGATGTGCCGCAGGAGAGCCAGGGGAAGACAAAGAGTAATATGAATGGACAATATTAACATTAAAAAATGGACTAGCCTGGATATAGCAGAATGTACAACGGCAGCTCGTGACCGTGAAGACTGGAGGGTCATTTAACGTCAACTTCGGAGTCAGAGATGAACGACACCTCCAGGTATAATAATAATAGGTATCCTACAACAACATGTGTCCGTCTGGGAAAAAGGAGGCAAGAAGGAACGTTCGTGGCCGCGCTAATGAAGTTCCATAGTAATACATGTACTGTGTGACGTCACGTGAGAACTTCCCATCTGATGGTACACGCAATCATCATCCGCAGTGTTTCATCAATATAAAATACAATCACTTATTAATTAAGTCGTGAGCACTAGATTCGTTCGACAGCCGAGTCTGCAAGAAGGGGCGTGGCGAGGCTGTTGTCTAAAGGCCAAGTGTCCACTAACAAGTACTTCGATACTGCCGGTACGTAGTATGCATAGTTGTAGTGCTGTGTCACCAGGCTTTTTTCTGACATCTGATGGTGGCTATACACGAGTTGGCATGGAGCCAATGCTCAAATCCATTGCTCGCATTACTGTGGAGATTCACACGCCCGGCATAATCGCAAACAGGAACAACAACAGGGAAGATCTCGGCGACAATAAACAACAAATCAAAATAAGACAACAACAGTAATAACAACGATAAAATCAATTCATCAGAGACGGAAATAATTATGCGTGTACTTAAATTAGAAACCCCCCATTTCTGGTTGGCTTTTTCTTTGTTGGTGCTCTTGTTGTTGTTGTTGTTGTTGTTGTTGTTATTATTATTGTCATGTTGTTGTTGTTGTTGTTGTTACTGCTGTTGGTGTTGGAGGTGATGGTGATGGTGATGGTGATGGTGATAGTGATGGTGATGGTGATGGTGATGGTGATGGTGATGGTGATGGTGATGGTGATGGTGATGGTGTTATTGTCGCCGTTGTTGCCGTTGTTATCGTAGTTGTTATTCCCGTACTTGATGCTGCAGTAGACTTTCATTGCGTTGAATCACCGCTGAGATCCGGTCACGAGTTAGACCACAGTCTCCGTTTACACCGGGTGCCTGGCTAAGTTCGGTTTTTTTTTGGGGGGGGGGGGGGGCGAGACGTCAAACTGCAACAACCGCATTCCTGACGATGTCCATGTTGGCGTACCAGCTGGTGTTGAGCGTGAGCAGGCCCGAGTACTCGGCAAGGGTCATGTTGAAGTGCCACTCCTCCAGGCAAGTCTGGGCCAGCGGCTGGTAGTCGGCGAAGAACTTGTTGGCGAAGAGCTCCTTCCGGCTGGTCAGCAGCGGGAGGTCCCGGATGCCGAAGATGCAGACGCCGCGCACCCTTTTCCCGCCGCACGGCCACGAGAACGGGTATCTGGGAACAGCAGGGCTTCATGAGTTGTTTGTTTGAAGAAAAGAGAAGCACGACATGAATATACCACTGGTATATTTTTTTAAATAGTAGCGGGTTTTACGGCGCTCGCAACTGCATAAGGTCATATGAGCGCCAAGGGGTGGGTGTCAACAGAGAAGTCTGTACAGGGAATCAGACTTAGACTGCTCACCTCTCTAGCTTTAACAGCACTAGGTCTGCTTCGACTATCAAGGCACCCCAAAATAGCAGGTCACAAGGGAGTGACAAACATACAAAAGAGGTAGAGGAAAATGACAATAGTAAGGATCAGGAAAGAAAAAGCAGCAGTTCCCTGTTGTAGATCAGGCACAGTTATGAGCGTGACATGAGTAAGCCCATTTACAATTCTAGTATGCTTGAACGAGAAATGTCCCTCCTTTGGGAATGGCATAAAGACACTACAGTCAGTGGCACTGCCCCGGGGGGTATACCACTGATATAACAGCACGGCATGAGCTGTTTGTTTTAGAATAAGGAAAGCAGATGGATACACCGCTAATATCTGAGAACAGCACGCACGAGTTTTTTGTTTGATGAAATAGAAGCACATGAATACACCACTGATATCTGGGAACAGCATGCTAGCACCGCTTGAGTGTTTGTTTGAAGAAGGCACCATTGATATCTACAAAAAACACGACATGAGTTTATTATCTTTTTAGTTTTAAAATGAGTTTTTTTTGGTCACTTGCAACACAGTATACATGTAGTCATATAAGTGCCGAAGATTAGAGGTGTTACAAGAGAGCAATAACAAACTCAAACAGAAGAGGAGAGATGAGGAAGATAGATGTTTGATAAGAAAGAAGGAGTAAACCATACCACAGCACCCGTCAACCACTCGCACAGCATACGAGTTTGTTTGAATAAACGGGGAACAGAAGAACACACAACTGTCGTTTAGTAGTACAGGGAAAACGTTAGAGTTGGATAGTCAGAGAGACACGAAGAACCAGCGCCATCGGTGTAGTGGTTAAGCACTTCGCCGTCACATGCAGGAGAATCAAATGTTCGATTCCTGAGTGGAGAGAACATTTTTGTAAAATCGAGTAACTCGGTCTTTCTGCTGGGATATTGTATATTCTCTCAGCACGTGTTGTCACTGACAGGCAGAGTTGGAAATCAGCGTTCTAAATTATCTAAATTATATTGATGGGGCGTAAAATCTCACCTATATCTTGAAAAGAAAAGACAGGAAAAAACTGCAGCAAGAAAGAAAAGTAGGACCGACAAATCTTTTCTTTAAAACCAAACGTCAAACTAAACATACACATAATATAATCGTTTTGAAGATGGTGCAAAAGGCCTCCACGGCGCGCCACTAGCCCAACTGGCATTAACAAACTATCACGCTGAGCTATGGCACAGATGACCCTAGTTCAAATCCTCAATGCCGTTTTCTTGAACTTGGCTAGTTTTCGGGGTTCTTCAAATACTCAGATCGATTCTGCCGGATCAGGGAGACATATTTGGAAGTCTCGTCTCTTACATTTAAGATAATTTATAATTATACAGCACTGAAACCGGCGTTAAATCCATACCAAGCAAGTGAAAGGGCCAGGTCAGAATAAATTAGTAATGAAGAAGGGAGATGAAAGAAAAAAAAATCACAGAAAGTCGACAGAACGAAATAAAAGTACATGTCATGTGCAATAAACCCCACTTGTATTACTAAGCACAGGCACCTTATTTGTGTCATTCAACTGGTATTTGAATCACGACATGATGGAATCAGCCGCTCGTCGATTTTCGGGCTTACGGAGATATTGGTATCAGTATCATCTTAAACTTAAAACTTGTTTGTCTGATATGCTCTCGGTGAAAAAAAATCCATCAATTATCCATCTTGAACAGAAGTCGAGATATTTGCGATTAAAAGAGACCTGCTGTCAGAGGTAAAATTAGCGAAAAAATGACCGCCAAAAATTGGGGACTTCCAAAACTTGAGTGTCCTAGGAAACTGCAAATTTACTCTTTTGTGCCTTTGATTTACGGGTTTTTTCCCCAGTAAAATCTACACAGAAATCTGTTTATGAATGGATATAAAAGGTACCAAGGGAAGAAAAATAAAAGGAAAAAAAATTGCCTAATGGGCGTAAAAATGTTTTAAAGTCGGTTTCTTCGATTTCATAATTTTGACGAGCGCCCGATTTCACCACGATGTCACACATAATTATGTTCTCCGATTCTCTGATAAGTTACAAAACTACTTGTCTCAGTTCTATGGGCAAATGAAATTTGCTTTTTGAGGTCCCGCCTTCAAATTCCTTAATAATGTTACAGTATTAAAAGAAGCGTTAAAACCACACCACTAAAGGCCTAGAGGTAATTTAAAGTAATGAATACGGAGATTGAAACCTAATACAAGAGAGAGAGAGAGAGAGAGAGAGAGAGAGAGAGAGAGAGAGAGAGAGAGA